ATAATATAAATCACCTGGAGGAGCAGGAACAGCCGGGGCAGACCCGGGCTGGCAGTTCCTCCCTGCTCCCAGGCAGTTCCTGGCTGCCCGAACGGGCTCTGGGTCGGTGCCGGTTCGGCGCCGGTCCCATCCCGGTTCGGTTCCGGCCCGGTGCCGGCGCTGTCCCGGTTCGGTGCCGGCCCGGTCCCGGCCCGGTCCCGGCCCGGTGCCGGCGCTGTCCCGGTTCGGTGCCGGCCCGGTTCCGGCGCCGCGCTGACCCGATTCCGCAGAGCCCCCGCCGCTCCGTGTTCTTCTTCCCGCCCGCCCCCGACCCGCTGCGCGGCCCCTTCGCCGTCCGCCTGGGCAAGTACAAGGCGCACTACTTCACCCAAGGTCAGCGCTCGCCTGCGGGGGCGGTTTTTGGGAATTTGGGATTTTAGGACGAGCTCCGGGAGCCCGGTGCGAGCTCGGCCGGGGTCCCGCAGGTTCCTTCCACAGCGACACGACCCCGGACCAGGCGTGCCACGGGCTGACCCCGCTGACGCCGCACCTGCCCCCGCTGCTCTTCGACCTGGAGGCGGATCCCGCGGAGAACTACGACCTGCTGCGGGGCCAGCCGGGCCCCGAGGCGCTGCAGGCGCTCAAGGACATCGCCGTGCTCAAGGACGTGCTCCAGCAGCGCCTGCACTTCGGCGACAGCCAGATGAGCAAGGGCCGGGACCCCTCGCTGCAGCCCTGCTGCTCCCCCGGCTGCAGCCCCAAGCCGTCCTGCTGCCGCTGCGCCCCGCAGTGACGCCCCGAAGCTGCCCCGGCCCCCCGGAACCCAGCTCGGCCTCGGGGCTGCCCCGCGGCTCGGGGAGCCCTTGGACTCGCAGGGAGATGGGGAGGAACGGGGGCACGGTGACCCCAAACGAGCAGGGCCCCGTGCTCCGTGTGGGATGTTCCAGGGGAGGACTTGGATAGGATCCTGATCCGTTCCAGGGTCCTGACCCGGTCCAGCCCCCGATTATCCCATCCCTGTTTTTCCCAGGAGGCTGAACTGGGCTGAAAATGTGGATAATGGGTGTGTGATTTTGGCCAGGGGAATGATTTTTTGCAGTAGCTGGGAGTGGGGCATGTCCGGGACCCCAGGGCAGTGGCACTGGCAGTGTGTCCCCTCTCACTTCCATGGACAAGGGCATCACTTCCAGGATAAAACGTGGTAAGGTGTTGTCACAGGATTTCCGTGTAAATCACTGCTTTGTCTTACACCTTTTCTAATTAATATTGCTGCAAATAATTGTTTGATTCCTTATCTCATGGCTGTTTGCACTAAATCGTTTTTAACCCCTGATCTTTGCCTTTTGTGGAAGGGGAAGGAGCATGGGTTTGCTTTTAGCATCACCACACCGGAGAATTCCATCCCTAAACCCGCACCAGGGGCAACACAACTTTAATCCAAGGATTAAATCAATTGGAGCATCCGTGGGGTGGGCTCAGGGCAGGAGCGTGGGCAGGGCACAGCAGCCCGGGGCTGAGCTGGCCCCTCAGCCACGGCCCCGGCGGGGGCTGCCGGAATCCTCTGAAGCCAGAACGGGATCTGCCGCCCCTCCTCTCACCCTGTCCTGTCCTTCAGGAGCTCCAGCACCTCCTGCAGCTTCCTGAGGAATCGTGTCAGGGTGTGTTTTGGGAAGGAAATGTCCATGACTGGTTCTGGCTCCGGCTCTGGCTCCGGTTCTGGCTCCGGTTCTGGTGGCTGCAGTTTTGGTGGCTGCAGTTTTGGTGGCTGTGGTTTTGGTGGCTGCGGTTCTGGTGGCTGCAGTTTTGGTGGCTGTGGTTTTGGTGGCTGTGGCTCTGGTGGCTGCAGTATTGGTGGCTCCGGCGAGTTCAGGGTGGCCTTTGGAGCTGGTGCCGGCCCTGTGGGGCTGGGGCCGGCGTGGGCACTGATCCAGGAGTGGAAGTGCTGGGTGGAGGTGAAGATGCCGGGCCTCTTGGCCCTGGTACAGCCCTTGCCCCAGCTGGCCAGTCCCACCAGCCCCTGACCCGTTCCAGGGTCCTGACCCGGTCCAGGATCCTGAACCATTCCAGGATCCTTACCCATTCCAGGATCCTGACCCGTTCCAGGGTCCTGAACCATTCCAGGATCCTGAACCATTCCAGGGTCCTGACCCGTTCCAGGGTCCTGACCCGGTCCAGGATCCTGAACCATTCCAGGATCCTTACCCATTCCAGGATCCTGACCCGTTCCAGGGTCCTGAACCATTCCAGGATCCTGAACCATTCCAGGGTCCTGACCCGTTCCAGGGTCCTGACCCGGTCCAGGATCCTGAACCATTCCAGGATCCTTACCCATTCCAGGATCCTGACCCGTTCCAGGGTCCTGAACCATTCCAGGATCCTGAACCATTCCAGGGTCCTGACCCGTTCCAGGGTCCTGACCCGGTCCAGGATCCTGAACCATTCCAGGATCCTTACCCATTCCAGGATCCTGACCCGTTCCAGGGTCCTTACCCATTCCAGGATCCTGACCCGTTCCAGGGTCCTGAACCATTCCAGGATCCTGAACCATTCCAGGGTCCTGACCCGTTCCAGGGTCCTGACCCGTTCCAGGATCCCCCGTTCCAGAATCCTGACCCGTTCCAGGATCCTGACCCATTCCAGGGTCCTGACCCCTTCCAGGATCCTGACCCGTTCCAGGATCATTCTCCAGACACTCCAGCACCTCCCCAGAGCCAGGACAGCTCCTGGGAGCTGCCATCCCGCTTGGCTGCAGTTTTGGTGGCTGTGGTTTTGGTGGCTGCGGTTCTGGTGGCTGCAGTTTTGGTGGCTGTGGTTTTGGTGGCTGTGGCTCTGGTGGCTGCAGTATTGGTGGCTCCGGCGAGTTCAGGGTGGCCTTTGGAGCTGGTGCCGGCCCTGTGGGGCTGGGGCCGGCGTGGGCACTGATCCAGGAGTGGAAGTGCTGGGTGGAGGTGAAGATGCCGGGCCTCTTGGCCCTGGTACAGCCCTTGCCCCAGCTGGCCAGTCCCACCAGCCAGAAGTTCTCCTTAACGTTGTCCTTGCAGACCAGGGGACCCCCGATGTCCCCCTGCGACAGGAGAGAGGGGTCAGGGCGGTGCCAGGGTTGGAGCCTCTCTCCCAGCCCCTGCCTGACCCACGTTCCCGGCTCTGCTGGAGCCTCCAGACCCTCGCTAGGAACAGGAGGGGGCTGGCTCAGGGTGGGCTCTGCAGGGAACGGGAGCTCTGGGACATCCACACCTGGGGCTGCCGGGAGCACGGGGTGGGCTCTGTGGGACAGTGCCAGCCTTGGGGACAAGGGGACACAGGGCAGGGACAGGGATGGGGAAGGGACACCCGTCAGTGCTGGGGACACGGGGCTGGGAGGGCACCGGGCCAGGCCCAGACAGAGCCAGGCCTTGCTGGGCTCAGGGTCCCCGTGCTGCTCTGGGGGTTCCATGGCTGGCTCAGGGTCCCCGTGCTGCTCTGGGGGTTCCATGGCTGGCTCAGGGTCCCCGTGCTGCTCTGGGGGTTCCATGGCTGGCTCAGGGTCCCCGTGCCCAGCCCCGGGCCCAGCCCCACCTGGCAGGTGTCGATGCCGCCCCGCGGGTACCCCGCGCACAGGTCCTGGGGGTGCACGGCCCCCCCGTACCAGCGGCTGCTGTTGCACAGCTGGACGTCGATGAGCCGCACCTTGGCCTCCTGCAGCACCAGGCGTGGGCTGGGGGCTGCGGGCACAGAGGGCACTGAGCGTGGCCCCGGGCAGACCCCGCGGGGCCGAGCCCAGGCCCGGGCCCGGCCGAGCCCCCGTGGAGCCCCCGGCCCGCCGTGTCCCTGCCCCCAGAGCCCGGGCGGGCACTGACCGCTGTCCGGGGTGGCTCTCCAGCCCGCGATGTAGCAGGTTTTCAGCTTGGGCACTGCCAGGGAGCTGTCGGGCACGCAGCCCAGCTGGATGTAGTCGCTGCACTCCACGGGCTGGTCCAGCTCCAGCAGCGCGATGTTGTTCCTGGCCGTGGGCTCGTCGTAGTACTGGTGCTTCAGGACCTGCTTGATCTGGAACACCTCGGCCTCGGCGCCCGGCTGGGCCAGATCCGTGGCACCGATCACCACCTTCCACTTGAGGACATCCCTGGAGGCCACGGAGAGTGACAGGGAGCAGTGATGGGGAGCAGTGACACAGCAGTGACAGGGAGCAGTGGCACAGCAGTGACACAGCAGTGACAGGGAGCAGTGACACAGCAGTGACAGGGAGCAGTGACAGGGAGCAGTGACAGGGAGCAGTGACACAGCAGTGACAGGGAGCAGTGACAGGGCTGGCACAGCCCAGCAGCTCCCAGCCCTCTGCTTCCCACAGCAGGGAACGGAGTCAGCAATGGAGCAGAACATGGTGGTGCAGCCTGGGGACCTGACCCTGCTGTGGGGACATCCCTGACATTGCTGGGGGAACAACCCTGGCCATGATGTGGGACATCTCTGACCCTGGCAAGAGGACATCCGTGCTGTGGGGACATTCCTGCTGTGGGGACATCCCTGATCCTACTGGGGGCACATCCCCGTCCCTGCTCGTCCTTACCCGGCCCCGATGAAGCAGCTGGCGGCCGTGAGGACCCAGCGGTGGCTGATGAGTGCCCCCGAGCACATGTGCCACGTGCCGTTGTCCCAGGTGACCTGGATGCTGGCGATGCCGGGCCAGGCCCCCGGGTTGACATCGAGGGTTGAGCTCTTGGCAGAATGCGAGGATCCATACTCAGGAATCGCTGAGGTCTCGTTCAAAACCATGGGCCAGAGCCCACAGGTGCCTCTGGAAGCACAAAGCCATCAGTGCCCCGCTCGGGGACAGCAGGGACAGGGACCCCGAGGGGCTCCTCTGTGCCCAGGCTGTGCCAGGGAAGCCCCCGAGTGTCCCCGAGCCCCCCGGGGCCACTGACCTGCAGGTGTCCCAGGTGGCCCCCAGGGGCCCGGCCAGGGCCAGCAGGACGAGCAGCCCCAGCAAAGCCATCGGTGCCAGCGCAGGTGGCAGAGCCAGAGCGGAGCTGTCACCTCTGGTGACACCCACGGCCCTGGCGCTGCCCACGGTGCCAGCGGGCCGGGGTGATGTCACAGAGGGGCCGGTTCCATGTGCGGGGCACGGTGCCCTCGGGTGGGGGCAGGGCAGCACAGAGCTGGAACCCGGCTGTGGTTTGGGCTGAGGGGACCCTCGGGACCCCACGGGAGCAGAGGGGATGTCCCAGATCCAGGGATCCCAGCTGGGACCGAGGGCACAGCAGGAGCTGGGATGGGTCCCACAGCCTCAGAGGCACGAGCTGGTGACAGAGGGGACACCCGGGGTGGCAGCAGCAGCAGCAGCTCAGGGTGGCACTTCCAGCAGCCCCACAGGAGCCCGGCATGGCAGCTCCAGCTGTCCCCGTTGCTGTCCCTCTCAAGGGCTTTTCCCGGGACTGGCACAGCCCAGGCTCTGCTGGGGAGCCTGGGCTGGAGAAGTTTCTCCCTCTCCCCACCTCCAGGCTGTGCTCTTTGGAGCAAAACCCACAGGAGGAATTCACCCCACACACCCTGCAGGGGGTTTGGCAGTCAGAGCTGGAATTTGAAGGGAAGGATTCAATAAATGCACGGAATGCAGAAAAATTGGCCATAAACCACAAAGTCAGAGCACAACCTCACACCCCGCGGGTGGCACAGGCCGGACCAGCCGTGGTGACAGCGCTGTTGAAGTGGCCCTGCTGCTCTGGTCCTCCTCCAGACATCCAGTTGGGTGGTTGTGTCCCCAATCCCCAAACCTTGAGGTGACATCCCCTAAAGTCCCAAATCCCCAAACCTTGAGGTGACACCCCCTAAAGTCCAGGCAGGAATGTCCAGTGGTGGTGGTTGTGTCCTCAATCCCCAAATCTTGAGGTGACATTGTCCAGTGATGGTGGTTGTGTCCCCAATCCGCAAACCTTGAGGTGACATCCCCTAAAGTCCCAAATCCCCAAACCTTGAGGTGACATCCCCTAAAGTCCCAAATCCCCAAATCTTGAGGTGACACCCCCTTAAAGTCCCCATTCCCCAAACCTTGAGATGACATCCCCTAAAGTCCCCATTCCCCAAACTTTGAGGTGACATCCCCTAAAGTCCCAAATCCCCAAACCTTGCGGTGACACCCCCTAAAGTCCCAAATCCCCAAACCTTGAGGTGACATCCCCTAAAGTCCCAAATCCCCAAACCTTGCGGTGACACCCCCTAAAGTCCCAAATCCCCAAACCTTGAAGTGACCCCCCCTAAAGTCCAGGCAGGAATGTCCAGTGGCTGTGTCCCCAATCCCCAAGCCTTGAGATGACATCCCCTAAAGTCCCCATTCCCCAAACCTTGAGGTGACACCCCCTAAAGTCCAGGCAGGAATGTCCAGCACCTCCCCAGGGCAAGGAGCTCCACAATGGGGCGATGGAGCCCCGTGAGTTATAGGGTATTTTTGGGATCCCTGGAGGTTGTTCTGCTGGACCCTTGAGTTCCTGCTGGCCCTTGAGCAGGGATGACCCCTCAGGGTGGGAGTTTTGACCCTGTCCCAGCCATCCTACGAGCTCCTCAGGAGGTGCTGGAGGTGCTGGAGAGCCAGGCTCACCCTCCCCTCCCTCCCTCCCTGGCCGCCCCTCATCCCCCCCAAACCATGAGCCAAAACCACCCTTTTTCCCCCAGATTGTCCCATCCTTGTTGTGCACAGAAGACTGAGCTGGACTGAAAATTAGGATAACTGGTAACAACTCTATTTCCAGAACTGAAGTTCATCACCGGGGTGGCCAAAACCACCCTTTTTCCCCCAGATTGTCCCATCCTTGTTGTGCACAGAAGACTGAGCTGGACTGAAAATTAGGATAACTGGTAACAACTCTATTTCCAGAACAAACTGAAGTTCATCACCGGGGTGAGGTAAGGGGGATAATGAGCAGGACAGAGCAGATCTGAGCACCGGGAGTGGCTTTGGCACAGCCGTGGCTCCAGCTGGGAATGGCTGTGGTCCCCTGCAGCCAGCCCTGGATCTGCTGCCCATCGTGCTCAATCCAGCTTGTCCCTCAGGTACTCCAGGAACTCCTGCAGGTTGGTGAACAACCTCAGCAGGATGGCTTTGGGGAAGGAAATTGTTATAAACTTAACCGGTTTTGGTGTTGGTTCTGGTTCTTCTTCCTCTTCGTCTTCTTCTGGTTCTGGTATCGGTTCCGGTTCTGGTATGGGGACCGGTATTGGTACCGGTTCCGGTTCTGATACGGGTTCTGGTTCTGGTTCCGGCTCTGGTGGCTCTTCCTCAATGATGAGGGTGGGTGGCTCCGGCTCGGGCGGCGGAGCCTCCGTTACCGACGGGACCAACCCCATCTGCATTTGGATCCAGGAGTGGAAGTGCTGGGTGGCGGTGAACACGCCGGGCCGCTTGTCCCCGGCACAGCCCTTGCCCCAGCTGGCCAGTCCCACCAGCCAGAAGTAGTCACCAGTGTTGTCCTTGCAGACCAGGGGAGCCCCGCTGTCCCCCTGTGACAGGAGAGAGGGGTCAGGGGCTGCTCCAGGGTCACAGCCACGCCCCGGGGTTATGGGGACAGGGAAGGGATTGGGGGACAAAGCACCGGGCCTTGGGGACAGGGGGACACTGGGGCAGGGACCCACAGATGGGGAGTGGCAGCCCTGGGACATGGGACAGGGATCCACGGATGGGAAAGGGAAGGACCACCCAGGGATAAAGGGCAGGGTGGGCCTTGCTGGGCTCAGGGTCCCCGTGCTGCTCTGGGGGTTCCATGGCTGGCTCAGGGTCCCCGTGCCCAGCCCCGGGCCCAGCCCCACCTGGCAGGTGTCGATGCCGCCCCGCGGGTACCCCGCGCACAGGTCCTGGGGGTGCACGGCCCCCCCGTACCAGCGGCTGCTGTTGCACAGCTGGACGTCGATGAGCCGCACCTTGGCCTCCTGCAGCACCAGGCGTGGGCTGGGGGCTGCGGGCACAGAGGGCACTGAGCACCGGGCACCTCCCCGGGCCCGGCCCAAGGCCAGGCTGTGCCCCTGTCCCTCTGTGTCCCTGCCCAGAGCTCCGGGCACGGCCCAGACCCGGCTCCTGCAGCTTTGGCCCCTGCCCTGGGCCAGCCCGGCCGTGTCCCTCTGGTCCCCAACTGGCCCTCAGGCCGGGCGGGCACTGACCGCTGTCCGGGGTGGCTCTCCAGCCCGCGATGTAGCAGGTTTTCAGCTTGGTCACTGCCAGGGAGCTCTCGGGCACACAGGCCAGCTGGATGTAGTCGCTGCACTCCACGGGCTGGTCCAGCTCCAGCAGCGCGATGTTTTTCCTCTCCGGGCCTTTGTTGTAGTGCCGGTGCTTCACGACCCTCCGGATGTGGCGCCGCTGGGCCCCTCCTTTGGGGACACCCTCGCCCCTCCTGTGGGGACACCCCTGTCCCTCCTGAGGGGACACCCCTGTCCCTGCTCGTCCTTACCCGGCCCTGGCGAAGCAGTGTGCCACCGTGAGCACCCACTGGGGGTGGATCAGTGCCCCCGAGCACATGTGCCACGTGCCGTTCTCCCAGGTGGCCTGGACGCTGACGATGCCAGGCCAGGTCCCTGAGGGGACACCGCGGCCTTTCTTATCAAAGGCAGTGCCATCGGAAGAGCCCAACGTTGTGTAGTCACCGTTAGAGCTGTCGTAGTCCTGGACCAGCGAGTTCCCCGTTGCTGTCCCTCTCAAGGGCTTTTCCCGGGACTGGCACAGCCCAGGCTCTGCTGGGGAGCCTGGGCTGGAGAAGTTTCTCCCTCTCCCCAACTCAGGCCCATCCTCCCCTCCCCGGCTCCCCCTCATCTCCCCCAAACCAGGCCCACCCCCACCCTTTTCCCCCCAGTTCTCCCATCCCTGTTTTTCCCCGGAGACTGCACTGGACACGGTGGCTAAGTGGGAACTGGAAGAACTCTAATTGAAGCACAAAGTGGGTTCCCCCTCGGGGCGGGCGCGGGGCTCAGCGTGGGCAGGGCACAGCAGCCCTGGGCACCGGGGCTGAGCTGGCCCCGCAGCCACGGCCCCGGCTGGGCCTGCTGGAATCCTCTGCAGCCAGAACGGGATCTGCTGCTCCTCCTGCTCAGCTTAATTTGTCCTTCAGGAACTCCAGGAACTTCTGCAGACTCGCGAAGAATGCCAGCAGGATGGACTTTGGGAATGAAATCGTTATGAAGGTCTCTGATTCCGGCTGCGGTGACGTCTCGATGACAGTCAGGGTCAGGGATGGGGTTGGGGACAGGATGGGGTTCGGGGCTCGCGTCGGGGCTGGCTCTGTCGGTGTGAGGCTTGGGTCTGCCGCCGCCTTTCCCATCTGGATCTGGATCCATTCACGGAAGTGCTGGGTGGAGGCGAACACCCCGGGCCTCTTCTCTCCAACACAGCCCTTGCCCCAGCTGGCCAGTCCCACCAGCCAGAAGTAGTCACCAACGTGGTCCTTGCACACGAGGGGACCCCCGATGTCCCCCTGCGACAGGAGAGAGGGGTCAGGGGCTGCTCCAGGGTCACAGCCACGCCCCGGGGTTATGGGGACACAGGATGGGATTTGGGGACATGGGGACACTGGGACGGGGACACACAGATGGGGAGTGACACAGGACGGGGATCCATGGATGGGAAAGGGAACAGGAGCCCCTGGACAGGGACACGGGGCTGGGGACAGGCAGGGAGCACTGACAGAGGTGGGAGTGGGGCTGGCCCGGCCTGGGCTAGGCCTGAGGGGCTGCAATGGTGGAAGGGGAAGGGAAGGGCAGCATGGAGGCACAGGAGAGGGATCTGGGGATTGGGAAAGGGCAGGACAGCCCTGGGACATGGGACAGTACAAGGACATGGGCATGGACAAGGGACATCAGTCAGTTGTGGGGCACCAGGGCTGGGAGGGCACCAGGCCAGGCCCAGACAGAGCCAGGCCTTGTTGGGCTCAGGGTCCCCGTGCTGGCTCTGGGGGTTCCATGGCTGGCTCAGGGTCCCCGTGCTGCTCTGGGGGTTCCATGGCTGGCTCAGGGTCCCCGTGCCCAGCCCCGGGCCCAGCCCCACCTGGCAGGTGTCGATGCCGCCCCGCGGGTACCCCGCGCACAGGTCCTGGGGGTGCACGGCCCCCCCGTACCAGCGGCTGCTGTTGCACAGCTGGACGTCGATGAGCCGCACCTTGGCCTCCTGCAGCACCAGGCGTGGGCTGGGGGCTGCGGGCACAGAGGGCACTGAGCGTGGCCCCGGGCAGACCCCGCGGGGCCGAGCCCAGGCCCGGGCCCGGCCGAGCCCCCGTGGAGCCCCCGGCCCGCCGTGTCCCTGCCCCCAGAGCCCGGGCGGGCACTGACCGCTGTCCGGGGTGGCTCTCCAGCCCGCGATGTAGCAGGTTTTCAGCTTGGGCACTGCCAGGGAGCTGTCGGGCACGCAGCCCAGCTGGATGTAGTCGCTGCACTCCACGGGCTGGTCCAGCTCCAGCAGCGCGATGTTGTTCCATGCCGTGGCAGCCACGTAGTTCTGGTGCTTCAGGAGCCTCTGGATGCGTCTCACCGCAGCCTCGGGGCCCGGCTGGGCCACATCCGCGGTCCCCATCACCACCTTGTAAATGGAGATGTCCCTGCGGAGAGGGGTGACACGGAGCAGAGGCATGGCATGTGGCAGCCCAGCAGCTGAACCTGTGGGGACACCCCTGTCCCTCCTGCGGGGACACCCCTGACCCTGCTGTGGGGACACCCCTGTCCCTCCTGCGGGGACATTCCTGACCCTGCTGGGGGCACATCCCTGTCCCTGCTCGTCCTTACCCAGACCTGAAGAAGCACTGGGCGACCGTGAGCACCCACTGGGGGTGGATCAGTGCCCCCGAGCACATGTGCCACGTGCCGTTCTCCAGGGTGGCCTGGACGCTGACAATGCCAGGCCAGGTCCCTGAGGGGACGCCGAGGCTATCCACGTTGAGGGAGGTGGCATCAGAAGAGCCCAAGGTTGCGTAGTCACCGTCGGAGGGGTCGTAGTTGGCAGACACGGAGCTGTGGTCGAAGGCCATGGGCCGCAGCCCGCAGGTGCCTCTGGAAGCACAAAGCCATCAGTGCCCCGCTCGGAGACAGCAGGGACAGGGACCCCGAGGGGCTCCTCTGTGCCCAGGCTGTGCCAGGGAAGCCCCCGAGTGTCCCCGAGCCCCCCGGGGCCACTGACCTGCAGGTGTCCCAGGTGGCCCCCAGGGGCCCGGCCAGGGCCAGCAGGACGAGCAGCCCCAGCAAAGCCATCGGTGCCAGCGCAGGTGGCAGAGCCAGAGCGGAGCTGTCACCTCTGGTGCCAGCGGGCCGGGGTGACGTCACAGAGCGGCGGAACCTTGGAACGCTTGGGGTGGCAGGGACCGCAGCGACCGCGCGCTGCCACCCGTGCCACCCATGCCAGCCGTGTCACCCGTGCCACCCATGCCACCAGTGCCACCCGTGCCACCCGTGTCGCCTCCCGCCGTGCCCGGCCGGCCCCGCTGGCACCGGGCTGGTGGCGCCTCTGGATGGAACAAGAGATGGACGCAGCCATAAATAATTAATCGTTAGGGCTCTCGCTGCTTCATTAGCTGTAATTTATAATGACTAATGGTATTCCATGTTTGTTTGCCTTGGTGGTAACCTCGCTGTGGCATTACGGTGTTAATTACCACTAATATTACTACAAATTGTTATTAGTACATAAAATAATGCTTATTTGTAATGTAACAATATTAATATATGTGATTTGCAATAATTTGTGTTAATTATATCATGTAAACATTTTTATATATTGTTACATCAATTGTGTATTAATACATGATTATATATCAATACATTAATGCATTATTATATGCAAATACATTAATTATATTTTTATACTTTACTATATTACTATATTATTACATTAATGATGTATATTTACAGAAATAAAGGCACCAATCCTTGTTCTAAGTTGAAAGGGATTTAATAGTTTTGTTCTACTTTAACACCATATTATATTTTATTATATTAATAATATAATATAATATAATATAATATAATATAATATATATAAAGATATAAATATATAAATATATAAATATATAAATAAATATATATATAAAATATATATATAAAACATAATATAAAACGTGTAATTTCTCTATATCCTTTATACATTATAAATTTATTTGCATATATGATAAAATCCTACACACACTTTTAACCCAACAAAATAAAAACTTCAAGAAACTTAAGAAAACTTACCATAAACTTTAAAAACTTAATAAATTGAATGGGCATCTTGTATGGAATATTTTATTAAAAACGGGATCAGACCTTTTGCTGCATTTCTCTTCTGGGCGGGGATGGGCACAGCTGGGTGGGCAGGGGAAACATCTGGATGGGGCGGGACACAGCTGGGCTTGGCAGGGGCACAGCCGGCAGGGGCACAGCTGGGTCACAGCTGGCAGGGGCACAACTGAGTCACAGCTGGAAGGGCACAGCTGGCAGGGGCATAACTGAATCACAGCTGGAAGGGCACAGCTGGCAGGGGCATAACTGAATCACAGCTGGAAGGGCACAGCTGGCAGGGGCCCAGCCGGGCAGGGGGCTGGTGCACATCTGGATGAGTGGGGCACATCTGCCGGGGCGGGGCCGGGGCGGGGCCGGGCGGTGGCGCCGGGGCGGGGCCGGGGCGGAGGGGGGGACCCGCCCT